ACCTGGCTAATGCAGCCCTGCAACATGGTGACTGACTGTTACATTAATCTGCTGTTTGTTTTCCTCAAGCTGAAATCTCAAAGGAAACCCCTTCACCCCAGGGGATCTGTAGAGCCCTTTGCTACAGAAGGGACCCTGGCACACTGGGAGTGGGGGCAGCCCTCACTAGAACAGGTTCTGGAGCAGCAGTGATCCCCAGGCCACCCTGACCACTTACCCCGATGTGCTCAGCACGAAGTTCTCCTGCTTGATGGCTCCTCCCGAGCCACTGGAGGGCAGGGTGAACCGCTGAGAGGCCTCCTGCCCAAGAGAGGATACAGTGAGTGCTGAAGCCCAGCCCACCACAACCCACAAAGAAAGACAAGAGCAGAAGAGCAGATGCGAGCAAGTGGCCAAACGTGGAGCAGTCACCTTTACAAGCCTCCCACAACCCACCTAACAGAGCACAGGGATTTTCCCTCATCCTCCGCAGGACAGGAAGGAGGCTCAGTGTATGCAGCTCATGGTGAAAGGCAGCAGAGGCCCCTCACTCCAGCTCTGCACCCCAGAGGGGCCGCAGGCTGTTGGTAGCAGCAGCGCTAGAGCCACCCAGCCCAGGGTGCTGTGGTGTTGACCCCGCTGCACAGCACAAGTGCTGCTGGTTTCTCACTCACCTGGGAAGCCTGGAGAAAAAAACAGCCCTCCTGACTGGTTATACTAGGTGATGACTGTCCTTCAGTCACACTTCACTCTTAAAACTTACACATTTTTCAAAACAGACACTGTATCTAGATATGCTGCAGGTTATTCTCACCTGCTGCTGAGTCACATCGAGTCAGCACTCCTGGCTCCTCTGGCTCCAGCCTCTCACCCCCATGTTTTTGCCCCTGCTCTTACATCACCCATTAACCCCCATCAAAACCTCAGAGTGTTAAGGGGCTGTTCCTGTTGAAAACAAACCTAGCAGGAGAGTGGTGAACTCCTGTGCATGTGCACACAATCCCCCAGGTCAGGCCTGGCTCATGTGAACACCTCACATTTCTGAAAGGTCCAGGTACCAGCAGAAAAGTGGCTATGTCCAGGGAAGGACGGTTGTGAATGAGGATACTGCATGCTATTAATTCCTGCACGAGGAGTAGTTTTTCAGCTGAAGGCTATCATGCTCCTTTCCACCATCACATGACAGAGTTACAGGCAGATCCAGATTTTCTGTTTTAGAAACTATTCACATCTCAGGCAAATGCCTGGCAGACAGGCCTGGCTGCCTCCACATGCCTTTTCAAAGCGGATCTCTGAGCAAAATGTGTCAAGAACACAGCAACCATCAGCTTTATGGTGAATCCTCGAGACCAGAAGGCGAGCTAACTCTTTGGACGGCTCTGAACATGTGTGATGGACCTTTCTGTGAACTCTGTACCAAGAATATTTTTGACCAGGGGAAATCTATCACCATTCCTCATATTAGAGGCAAAAAAAACCCAAAACAACAAAAACACCCAAACAAAACAGATGAAGTAAATTAACCTTACCTTCAAAATATCCTGCAGCTGTTTCAAGACAGTATGGACCTCTTCTTGTAAAAGCCATTTAAATTCTTCTTCCTACATTGTGGAAAGATAGCAGTGAAATCATTAAAAGTCAAACATTGGAAATAAATCTCAGACACATATGGAATTTATTTAAGTTCTAAGTATACTGCTTTGTCCATGGCATTTACATCACATGCTAGTAGAAGAAGGTTTCTTCCTGATTTCTTCTCTATTCCTCCACCCCAGCCAGATGAATTGCCTTCATTCTTCTTTTGACTTTGTTTATTCTTCCAATCAGTGAGGGTACAGGACCATTGACTCAGCATTTCATCCTTTTTTTGATTTCTAGGCATCATACTCGCATACTGGAGTCCTTGCTCTTTCATTCTAACACTTGTCCTTAAGGTTTGCAAAGGAACAGAAATCATGTAGGTAAAGCAGACACCTTTAGTGCCTCCACCACCCTGCTGTTGCTATGCAGATGTTTCTACCTCAAATCATCACTGGTGCATTTCAGCCCTCCAATGACAGCAAAAGATCTCCATCCCCCAGTATAAATTTCAGCTCATTCACCATGTCTGTGCACTACACATCTGCAGTTATATAATTCCAAATCACACCCATTTTAGAAAAACCTGCTTTTCACGTGTGGCTTTCCACCAGCTCATGTCCCCAGAAATATCTGCAATGTCAGATGGTCTATGTCCTTCCCGCCCTTACCAAGTCAACAAGGCTGCTTTGCCACTCCTGCCTGTCCCGGCTACACCTCCATCAAACAGTGTGTCGGACTGTGACTAAATCAAGGTCACGTAACACATTCCATCATTTACAGTAAGCAGGACTGCCTGCCCCAGGCTCGGCCGAGGCCAGGAAGGGGTGGCAATCGCACCCTCGTCTGGGGCTTCTGCCAAGGGCAGGGAAGCCGCGCAAGCAGCGCCGGCGGACGCCTAGGCCTGCTGGGCCGCGGGCTTGAGGGCAGAGCGGCAACGGAGCCCGGGCCGGCTTCCCAGGCCCCGCCGGCGACGCTCACAGAGCGCCTCAGCTCGGAGAACGGCCTCGCCGCAGCCAGCGGCGGGAAGCAGCTCTCTGGTCGGGCCGGCCGGCTGGAGCG